ATTATCCTCGTTATCTTTGCTTTTTTTAATGTTTTATTATTTGTATCAGAAATGGCGACAAATACTGACTGATCAAGGTGGGCTTGCTCAGTGTCATTGTACTGTTCTTGTGTTCCTATAGAAATTTGCAGATAATACCCTGAGCTCCAGTGACAAATGGGTTTTTATTTGTGCTGAATGAATGACAGTGTCAGATCCTGTCTCGAACCTTTCATGTTTCACTTCGCTGCACATTTCACAGTCCTTCCCTTTCCTTACAACAGCCACAGAATATATTAATCTTGTTATTCTGGTGTTTGGTCATGTTTGGGAGATGTACGTGTATACAGCGTAAAATAAACACACACACACACACACACACCTACACACACACACACCTAATTACAGAGGCCAATACTGTCATGTTCATTGCAACATTTTCCCATGGCACAATGCAAGCTTTTCTACCAGGGCATCACCTGTTTGAAGAGATTTGATTTAAATTTAAATTATTAATGTCACAACAGTAACTTGTACCAGTGGTGGAACCACTGACACACATTATCCTCAAAATAAGCCTGTGAAATGTATTTATACTGTGGAACCCAATGCTCTTAGCTTTAACAGTAAGCCAGTCAGTCAGTTAGTGTGGCTTCACTATTCGACAGTGTCAGTGGTGGTTACTGTGAGTCAAGTAATCGGTGGGGTGTTTGTATTCAGTGCTCATAAACTATAGTACTACTACTACTATATAGATAAAATTTAAAAAAAACATTTTACAACTTTACATAATGCTTCATATGCCTCCAAAAGTAGTATTTATTTACTTCTTTAAAGCATGACTACAGGACAAGTCAGGACTAGGTAAAATGAGGCAATGTCATATAAACACTCTCGGAAAGGTCTGGTGATGATTTAGCCTCAGGGGGCAACAGCCAAAGTTTCAGGGATTCCGTTGTAGAGAGTGGAAATCCAGAAAACGGATCATGGATAATCAGGCCAAGACCTCTGTAGTCCGATTAGCAACTTGACACACCCAGTCCCAGGTGTCCAGGGCAGCTTGGCTAAGCTAACTGGCTAACAGAAGCTCAGCTACATTTTGCAGCAGTGACTTTACCGTACATCAGGAAACTCTGCAGCCGAAGGGAAACAAGAAAACATTTTCTCTATAAATTATGAGCCTGTTTCACCAAAATCAAGTCCCGACCAGGAGCCACATAGTGCAAGAACTGGCATATGGGGCCCAGAATGGGAATGACAGAGACACTGTGCACCCTATTACAACAGTGTAGCATCAAAATGATTCTGAAACTGTAAAGTAAGGAGGGGCCCAAAACAGGCATCGATCAGTATTAGAGGGCTGATAAGTCAGCAATGTCTCAGCTCTGCAGAGTGAAGACAATCCCATCTACTACAACATGACAGAATTTTATAAGTAATTGTATCCTTCTTTATACTTCTAATAAAAGAATTATCAAGAAATTATAAAAGGTTATTTTAAAATAAATATATAAAAATTATTATAGATGACGATCAGAGTGGACTAAATACACTTCATGGTATTGATTCTTCTCTGTGCATTGAATTAGGCTTTGTTAGGAAATTATTTCTATATAAATCAGTGAGACTATTGTTTTCTCACTGTCAATTTTAAACTTGTATTTTACTTTATTTTCTATTTGTTTACATTCATGGTGTACAATTTACATTTTCGATTTTTCCATTTCCAGCATGATTTAAATCATTATACAACACTTTTATTTTTTATTTCTTTCACTCTTTTGTTAATCTTTTAATAATTTGTAATATCTTACATGCACACAGCTGTTGTTTGACAACAAACTCTGTAATTGCATCCTCTCCATCACCATAAGGACCATTAAAACAATTTGAAACACTGATAGCAGATACTGAGTGCCTCTGCCAGCTCTCTATTCTGATGAGCAATCATCGACATTTTCTCCAAAGTACTCAAACTATCTATTAATGAGTAGATCTATCTTAAAAATGAGTAGCTATCTAGTATAAATGCTGTAGGGATAGAATATAATAAATTGTAAATACATTATATTGTGTGTGTTTGGATACTTTCTGCCCTCTTGTGGTGGTACTTTGCATAATGAGACACATTTCACATCAGCTCATCAGTAAGAAGATACAAGTGACCAGAAATTAAAGGATTTAATAAGATAAATATAAAGACATGCAAAATGTAGATATATGAGGAAAAATAACAATAAGAAGGATTTTTATCCATAATATGTACTTTTGTAAAAATCTACATGAAAGAGGATTAAATAATTTTGGATTGTATATAACGTTTTTGCTTTATAAATTATACAGACAACTGTCAGTGTCATATTATGTAAATTCTTGCCCAGTGTAATTTAATTACAATTAAATATTTAGGTTCTTGTTTTGTCACATTTGTAGTGTGCCACCTTGACTTGTAAAAATTAAAACTGAAGATTTTAATAAAGACATCAAAGTAAATGTACAAGCAGAATAGATTAACATAATTTAGAATTGACTGCATGATACAGTAACACAGATCCTCCCTGACTCTGAGCCAGATTAGACGGAGAGTGAATCTGTTCACAAATGCCCAGCAAAAGGTCAGCATGGTATTGAATTTTTTCAAATATTTTTCAAAATACCTCCTGGCATTGCAAATATTTTTGACCACTGCGTAATACTTTGGGGAAGGATGAATCCCCACTCCTCCGTGCCCCCATCTCTCGCTCTCCCTCTCTCTTAAACACACACAAACACATACACACAGATACCACTACACAATGCCTGCCAATCTGCACCGAAAAAACACCGCTCTGGGTTATTCATCGATTGACCATTCAAATCCCAACATATGCTGCTCTGCTTTTATTCCACTGTGTTCTCTGAAATGGACCATTTCCTAATTCTTCCACAAGGCTTCCTACTCTGTTCAGGAGTCACTCGCACACCATGTAAATGAGAGAAAAAAGTAGGCAGGAATGTAAATTGATCCAATACGTGTGTAAATGTGCTCGTGCACGTGCGTCTGTGTGTGCCACTGTGAACATTTTGACCTATTTTGCAGAAAAATGCAAGGACAATATATCATCCTAAGTTCTGCTCTGTAACCTTGAAGTAAATTGCCCCATGATATATATCATGTTGTTTTGAAGTACTTTTTCCCAACTACATGTTATGGTATGAATGATAGCAAACACAGGATAGTGAGTCTGAGAGTTTGGGTCTACTTTTACAGTGTACGATAATATTCACCCCAAGTGCTGCACTGTCAAACATCTCAGCTTTACTTTGCTTTTCATGTCTTTCTACCTTTAAAGTCAAAAATGTTTGTCTCTCCGACCCCCTCCTGGTTTTACCCCTGTCGTTTTCCTTTTCTTATCCATCCTTTTGATCACCTAAAACATCAGTCCATCACCACCAGAAGCTGTGGTTTATGTCTCCCTGCTGTCCACTGTCTGCCTTCCAGGGAGAGCTCCTCCCCGCTGAGCCGCTGCCCGTTTGCCAAACTCAAGTGTTTGTGGGAGAAGTGAGCAGGTTTTACATGGAGGACTGCCTTAATGTTGTTCAGTTGGTGGGCAACCACACAGGGCGCTGCACTTCAGATTCACTGTTTGTTCATCTGTGCAGGGCCAAACTCATCCCCCCTTACTCACTCTCTCTCTGTCTCACATACACACACATTATACACACAAACACTCCTCACCATCACAACCTATATCTGTCACACAAAGAGAACATTTCCAAATAAAATAATCTGAATGAAAGGAAATCATTTATGACTTGTCAGGATATCGTCATGTAAACACTTGGCTAGCTGGGATGTTACTATTTGGTGTGAGAAGTAGAGGTATGCCTTTCAACTGGGGATTAGGAGGGGACATGGCCTCTATAGGGCTCCCTCAGAGCAAAGCCAGTCCTCCCATGTTAATTTCTCAAGGTCAAAAAAAACCTCTGCAATGTTTCAGCTTTGAAGGTGGACTGAAAATACAATAACAGGAACCCCGCTGTATAGAGAGGAAAAAAGAACACTGATTCAATACAACTGCTACATCTACCTGTTTGCTAAGATCAAAGAGGCCAGTTAACAGAGGTGTTTCAGACCGAACAACAAAAGACAGATATGTCTGCTTAATGTGAGTTTATACAGGACTTGGTGTTAAATGAAACTTTTGTCTTTAACACAATAAGAGCAGTAACTCATATCAAAGAAAAAACAAGCTGATATGCAGTATTACTGTAGTTTTAGTCTTGTCCTTGTTGGCTCAGTTCCTATAGGAATAAGCATTAATATGACCATTCATCACTCACTGTCTTGAACAGTTATTTTACAAGCTGCACTGTCTAGGTCTAATTGAGCTACTTTACATTGTAATAAGGCAACAAAATGCACCGGATTAAAGCAGACCCTGTTCCCTTATGTATTTAAAAATAGGGCTTTGGAAAAAGCTACATTGCGTGTGTCTCGCCTTTTGAGATTTAATGACTATCCTGTGACTCCATAGAGAATTACTGCCAGTAATTGATTATTAAAACTTGAAATTGCAAACCACATCCATTATTTGACGAGTGCATGTGTTATCCTTGTAATTAACAAAGCTTGGCACTTACCATTTGCCAGTTCCAAGACCCCCAGAAAAATATATCAGAGGTTAGAAAGGCGATTTATAGAGCAAGCACTGTCTGGGCAATTATCTGAGACATAATACATTACCAAAGATGCTCAATACACCAAGAAAATTCCCCTTTACACCAACTGCACAGCCACGGTCTCGATGCTGTGTGTAAAAACATATGAAGCTTTAAATTTGGTTTACAATAAATGAATCTTTATGACTGCTGTTTTTAAAACGCCAAAGTATTATCTGCATAAAACAAACACTCGTCATAGAGCAGAGAAGTATTTTTAACTGCATATGAATGCCAACCCTTACAAACCTTGCTGCTGCAGTGTCAAAAATAAAAAAAGCACTTGAATATTAAACAATGTGCAATTGTTAGATTTTTTAAATTTATTTATCATAAAAGCCTAGATTTGTCAAGTTAAACAGCAAATAGAGGATACACTGTATGGCATTTAACATATTTGGGGAGTTTTGGATCGCAGCCAATACCCATAATACCTTCACGTTACAAACAGAACAAAAATACAAATGTATGAGCATCCTACCTGCGTGACCTCCCCTGCCTGTGGCTTCTGATCTATAATCTATTAAGACAAGATGATTGTTATTGGCCACTGTCTGTGAAAACTGAATGTTTATTACTGCAAAATGACAATACAGTAAAAGCACCACTGAAACTGTGCAATGTACCACACACACACACACACACACACACACACAGTCTACAGTTTATGTATGTATTGTGTATGATTTGACAAGGTAAAATAATTAGTCCAACACTGTTTGATGTCTTATTTAATTTCACCCTTGATCTGTATAATGTGTGAAAAACGGAAAACATGAAAATCTTTCACTTATTTAATATTTTGTTCTTATCGACCTATGATTATCTTTGCTCCAGTCCACTGTGGCCACTGCAGCTACTGTAAAGAGCTGTTGGATTTGCTTCTGGCTTTAGATAGTCCAGATGGGAAAGCCCTTTGCAAAGGAACAGTTAAAGCCTCTAACCTTCACTATAGTGCATCCCCTAAACAAACCTGGCCTCATTTCCTCATAGACTGCCTAGATTCATACCCAAGCCCAGATAATGCCCTTTTGTGGATCAAGAGCAGAGAAAACAGCAAGGTCTTCACTTCATTGGAGATAATCAGTAATTGGCCAAAGCCAGTAAACTGAATACAGACAAGGGGAATACAACATGAGGGGCATTTAAGAACAGAGTGAAGTTCAAACTCTCAAGTGCAAAACCTGAAGTCATAAGAGTGAGAGTGCAGGCAGGAGTAAATCCAATGTAGTGGTGAGAAGTGCTACAAACAGTGGTGGTTGTCCATGAGGGCCCGAGACAGAGCGGAGAGAGGCTTTATTTACTGGGAGAAATGCTGTATCCACAGGCCGTTTGGGCAGGATAGAGCTGGATGAATTCATTAAAGGAAGCGCAGTCTCTCCCAGCTGCCATCTCTCCCCCTGCAGCCAGACTCCGATCAATGGCAGGAATACATCCAAAACAACATTTAGCACAAGACCTCGGAAGCAGGGGTGCATTTAAGACTTCTCTGTGTGCGCACATCTCCCCTGGATGTGAACACTGTTTCAAAATGTGCTATTGAAGTAGAGCAGGGGAGGTATAGGGGCAATGTGTTTGTATCACAACAGAGAAGAATGTTTAACACAAATGCTTCAAGACAAGACACCTTGCCGTTCACTGTTATGTAGGGAACCAAAATGATGTCCATTACAATTTTTTTCATATTCCATGGATCCTTGAAAGTCAGTTGTACATTAAAATGCGATTACCTTAAATTCATTACTTGCACCTGAAATATTAAATGACTAACATCAGTGCAAGAGCAGGCACACAGGGACTGTTGCTGTTGTTAGTGTAAATACACTCACTCATGTATATATACGTGTTTCTTAGGTAATTCTTTGAACATAAAATGTCAGATGTTCAATACCAGGGAAGTCTTGGTTGCACAACTTTTAAAGTAAGTTAACTTCTTTAAAGTTCTTCCATCTTTGACACTTTTTATGTGTATTATGTAATTTAAATCGCACTGGACACATGATTTCAAACATAAACCTGGTCAAGCAAAAGCAAAATGCTTCTAGTACCATCTAGTGGTTATAAAAAATATTTATGTGACGCACTGTGGAGAAATCATAGACTATGTATATGTATACATACACTGCACACAGAATTCACTAAATCATACTTGACAATGTTAAGCTAATGTGTTCCGTTCACAGGCTATATAGTGTGACTAAATTTAACTATGTGCTGGATCTCATTAGAAAATTCTGACTTATGTATTCACAATAAAAATCTTTCTGAGCAGAGAAGCACCCCACTGTGTACTGATGAGATGGCTCAGGTGGACATTTCAATTTATAGTAAGATTTAGTGTCTTTAATTGCATTTGTATCATAACCATGTATGCCCTATTTACCATACAAAGACTATAATGTATACTGCATTATATTTTAAATAAAGGCTGAGTTTATCAGCCTAGTGATCGATTGCTTCACACTGTCCCAGATCTCATCTGGGCGTCTCAGTTAAGAGTTTACTGTGCTGCGTACCAAACTACAGCAAACATGAATAATACATTGCCAGCGGTTTTTACACATTGCAAAAACCTACTAAAAATGTAGGTCTAACAGTGTGTGCACCTTGAAGCTTATTGTTAAATGTGACAATAATTCATATATATATATGCATTATATTATATTTATAGTCCATGACATTCATTGTTCAATGCACTGTTGTCCAGCTGAAAAAAAAAAATAATGAAACTACTAACAGAAGTTAGAAGATGGTCATATTGATCATGTCACCGATTTAAAATACCTTGGTTTTGAAAGCTGATCCATTATTTGCTTTTTGAAAACAGACACTGTATTTCCAGAGCAGTGGCAATAACAGCAAACCACAAGCAACCCAGGTTTTGCAAACTGTATACCTGAATCTTTGAAAAATATAAAACCTAAATTTCCATATACATTGAATTCAGATATGATTAAAATCAGTCACACAGTATTTCTGATTTCCATTTCAATGGCTTACATCTAAAAAATTGTGAAATATATTTTGCTGCTCTTGCTCTAGAGTGAGCGCACAACAAATTTCATGTAATACAAACATTTCATTGAATTACATACATTTAAAATGAATGCACAGTGCAGGCTAGTGAGGTTGTGTGCCATTTCTCTCCACCTCTACCTTACACCTCTCTCTTTCTCTCTACAGCAGTCTCAGTCCAGCTTACGGGGCATGCACAGTGACACTTCCTGAGAGGTCATTTTATCTCTCAAATAGAAAACAATGATCATTTTCTTTAAAAAAAAAAACAAAAAAAAAAACACCTGAATACTTAGAGATACAATGACAATGAAAAGTAAGATAGCTTAGTTTTACTCAAATTTAACAGGACAGAGGAGTTGTGTACTACAGCATGACATGGTTTCAAATAAGAAATTGATGCCCTTGTTGGGATTCAACCATCATTAGCTTTAACAGACCTGGTAATATATAGTTACTGTATACATACTGCAGTTTCAGTAAAAACTCAAATTCCAGCTACCGTATTTCATTTACCAAGAAAAAAGAAAAGAACTTTCATTGGTGTCACGATGTTAGAATCACAAGCTGTTTGCAGTACACATTCAGCTCTACAATATACAGTACAAGTACCGGTAGTCAGATTTGGACTTTGCACAACGGATTTACCGCCACATATGGGCACATTACAGGGCCAAAGAATAATGTTCACCAGACAAAACTGCACATCATCTTCAGCACATGTAGTCAGTTATTATACAGTCTATTGTCAAATTCAGATTTCTCAAAAAGGAAAAAGTAAGGACGATAGTGGATCATAACAGTGGTTTCAGTTAGCATGGCTGTTCAGTTAGTCTGTATATCTTTCTTCTTCAAGGCACAATAACACATGGAGTGTTTGTCCAGAAAGGCCCCGGAGTTAAGGTGCATGTGGGCCCTCGGGGTTCTCCTGGGTCTCTTGTTCACAGGGTGATCTGGGCACAGTGGTGTTTGAGCTTGCAGGGCAACACGCCACGGTTTAGCTGGTAAAACTCCACCAACTGGATCAAGTCAGTGAACCGTGTGTGACCATCATCGAGACTGTAGAATACCTCCCCGTCATCATCCATCTGCAGTGGAGTACGAATACAAACAGAGAAAATAAATCACACAAGAGATAGGTGACTTACTGAACGTGACGCTCAAATCTGGAGTTAGTTTTTGGAATGTGAATGAAAAACTGTACATCCAAGCAAAAGTGGATCGTACTCACAGGTAAGATCTGAAAGTGTTTGATTTTCTGCATGTGGCACAGTGACAGCACAAATGTCTTAGGGTTGCTTTGGCTATCCCTCAGAAGAAATACTCTGAAAACAAAAACGAGTCCTCACTTTTACCATATTATTAGATTTCCTAAAATATAGATAACAATTAATCTAACACATCATCAAAATGTCTGTTATGGACCACTAGTTTAATTAACAACTTCTTTTTGTTGTTGTTTTGATATTTATTGGTCTCTAAATCCCCTTTTAACAATCCGCTTGTCAGTTGATGGTTAAAAAACACTTTGAATTGCATTGCATTTGTTTGAAAGGTGCTAAAAAGGTATAAAGTTCAATTGATTGAGAATATTTATTTAGCTCCCTTGTTTTTTGCATTTTGGAGATCGTCTTCCAGCATGTTGACTGATGCATGTATGTAAAGACTTATGTCACACTCCACAATTATTGAAAAAAGTATTTGTTAAACACACGTGATTTCTCTTGTGCAAAGATTTCAAATTGCATATTAAATGTATTTAACAGGCATATTACCTTTTATTAACCACACTACCATGCATGTCCTATAGAGAAAGAGCCTCACTGTTGAGGATCATGTGGTCCACCTACCACCATTACACCTAATTTCTTTGATGACACAATGTAAACAATAAAAGAGGAAAGAGGAAGAGGAACTGCTTACCCATCGATAAGACCCTGCTGAGTGATGAGACGCTGAGCTTCATCCCGAGACAGTTTGCCGTGGAACCAAGACTGAGTCAAGTGGAGGGCTGAAGCACAAAGAGAGACATTATGAATTATTTATTTTACAAATAAAAATATCAAAATAAGAAAAAGTGTTCCACAAACCTATGTTTGACACTGAGCTCTGTGATGTGGAAGGGCTGCCGTGGCCACTCAAACGATGGCAGCTTTTCCTCTGCGAGAGAACAGCCACAATGACAGTTGAAGTAATGTTAATACCTACTTCATTCTCTTTGTATTCTAAAAAGGTAATCATTTATGAGTCATTTACAACAGTTATTAGCTGTATTTTGTGGTGCTATGCCACTTTGTATAATACTCATTCAAAAATATTATGTTAACTCTTAATAATTCTGGACATTAAGAGATATAATAAGGTTGTAAATTGTAAGAGCATGTTACATTGTAAAAATGTGTTTCTTCTTTCACACCCTTTTTTTAAGCACCATTTATTTTAGAGATTTTCTCCACCGAACTTTTAAGAGTACGTTTCATTAGGTAAAAGAACAGGATAACAAATAAAGCATTATCGCTTACTAACCTGTTTTTTTTTTGTTAATAGTGTTGGGAAATGTCTCTTACTGCTGTTTCTCAGGTAGAGAAAGTTTTATGAATGTTACTTACTCTCCACGACAGGCCTTCCTCTACAGCCACAGACAGCGCCTCAGACGGGTTTTCAATCACTCGGCTCTTTTGGCCAGAGAAGTCCATGGCCACCAGCGAATTCTCTGAGATGCTTCTCTGAAATTGCACGCATACATTTAATGGTTGTTTTTGTACTGGCTGTATGAGTCTATGTTTTACTTATTTATTTTCTAAAAACTACTTTAGTAAAATATGTATGGTACAAAATACCCAAAAGGTTTTCCTTTCTTGGTTTGATTTCCTTTGTATGGTGTAAAAAGGAGGTAGACTGACATTTGATGTCTTATGGTATTGTATTGCCATCTAGTGTCTGAGTAATGTGACTCCATCTTTATCATTTCTAGATGATTCCAGACAGAAAACTCCATTGAAAAGGGATTAGAGTGGCTTTGAAAAAGAATGACACATGGGCACATTTTAGTCCTCTAAGCTGCCATATAGTGAGTGGCTCACTGCACACACTCAAGAAAATTCTTCTTATCAGGATTACCAAGAAGCTTTTAAATTACCACATTTGTTCCTATACCACCTAAGCTTACAATTTAAACGAGTGGTGAAAACAAAGTAAGCAGTGTTTACTTTGAGGACAGAGGCAATACCGTCTGTCTTAGCCATCCTGCCCAAATTCTAATGACTTAAAAGATACCCATAACTTCTTAGAAATATTTTACCTAATATTGTATCCAAATACAGCTGTTATTCACTTTTCAGAGATCCTATGAAGCAGTTTTATCGAGGTTGTATTTGTAACTAAATTAGCCGAGTAAACCATAGAAGATTCAGCAGACCGACCCTGCATTTGGCAGATTCATGTACTCCTCTATCTTTCTAGCTAATCCTCTTGGCGAGGCTGTCGGTCACATATGACCCTCCGACAGCAGAGAAGAGGTGATGAGTTGTTAAATCTGAGAGCAGCTGATCACTGTGTATTTTTAGAAAGCAGAGGGTTCATGAACATGTCCAAAAGCCATAAATAGATTGTGTTCACTGACACGAATATACTCCCAGTAGAGTCTGAGGCTATTCTGGGACACCAAACCTACATTAACACACTGAAGGTGCCTCATTTGTCCTATGCAATTAGATTACCACACTGCTATGTGTTAGCTCCAACATATTTTTAACACATGGAAATGTTGTTTTGGTCACCGGGGGCAGTGCAAGAAACACAACATTGACATGATAATTTATTAAACTGCAATAGCAAACTTGATTGCAAACATTTACCTATACATCCGACATGCACAGAGCAACATAAGCATTCATTTGGACTTTTGGAGATTTCTGGTCACATGATGAATGGAAATCCAATATTTACTTCCCTTTGGTCTTGTCTCCACCAACTCCTAAGTACATTATCAGTCTTTTAGATGCTAAATGTTCTACCATGTTCCCCAGCTAATTGCTAACATCATCAGTATGTTGTTTGGCAGATACTATAAAGTGGGTTTATCAGAGCTTCTTGGCAGAAAAAAAAGCTGCCTACTGTGGCTGGAAACAAGGTTGACGAGCACAGAGAGTTTGTGGGCTGAAAAACCAAAACAATGAGCTAAAAAAAAATAAAGAGGCCCCACAAAGACAAAGTGCAGAATTGATGTTAACTTGCTGTGGGTTAGTTACAAAGGTTACCTTGTCCATATAGTATTTTAATGTACTGTTAATATAGGCTTAAAAAGTACATTTTAATGTGGAAACCATTTAAAGCCCTTTAAAGTGAGTTACATGTCATAAAAATAAGATTCAGCTCTACAGCAGCTTACCATTGGTGAAGCCTTTTGCTTCTGATGTGGCTGAATGAAGTTTTGGTACAGCTGCATCCCATACTGAAAAACAAAAAACCTTTTAAATTCTAATCCCAAATATTTACTACATGTTCACTTTTAAATACTTTCAGAAGACCTGTAGTGTAGTGATGAAAAGGGGCAGATACAAATAAAACAGTCTGTTGTGCTGTACTGTATACTATTTATAGACTAGCAGGAGAGTGACTAATGCTCTCAACTGTATCCAGCAGATATCCAGACAATGAACATATGTTGTTGCTATAAAGAGTAGGAGTGCTAATCCAGCATCACTCAATCGTTTCTCTTGACCTCCTCCCAAAGCTAAATATGATTCTAGCACTGACTCAGCATTCTTTCTCTTAGACATCACCCAGAGTTAGTGATCGGCAAGCCAACCTTTAACAAGCGCATGGCTGTGATCCAGCAGGTCCTGGTCTGCTCATCATCCGCACAAAGCAGCCTCAAGTCTCGGGCTGAACTACCCTTTGTGGACTGGAGAAAGAAGTAACATGGAGACAAAAGGAGTTCAACATGGTGGGAATCAATACACTACTCTCTCTTGTGCTCCTTTTGTACGGTTTTGGTATTTCTAGAAAGTGGTTATACCTTGACACAGAGACCATAATCCGTAGGTGCTCCATGAAGTTTTTTGGCTGACAACACTGTGTAGACATCACTGTCACTGAAGTCCGCAATGAACTGGAGATGCCTTGGTTCCTGTAAAACATAGATCAAATCGAATCAAAGTTTTGAAAAACATCTGAAAAGCTTTTGTATGTGAAAAATGGAGACACATGTGAGGTCTTGTGAGTTTGTCAGTATGAGTTTTGCCTTTTATTTTATGATGTGCCCAAGAAAGCAGTTTACTTCAAGAAATGAATAAAGGAAAGGACAAAGGTGGAGCACACTTAAATTTAAACAATGCATATTTATCAATAAGTAGCAGCGTTATCTGACATTCTGGGTGTGGCTAAACTATAAACGTAAGAGATAAGAATACAATTAAACATATTGATTGTGGCTGTATTGAGACGGTATGAACAGCCACATTGTGCCAAAGATAATTTTACAAGAAAAAAAAAATGCACAAAGACTAGCATTGTTCTGCTTTCACATCACACACCGTGCCCACTTCCTTATATGAAGTAATGCGACAGCCGTTAGTGTCTGTGCTGATTGAGTTCTGGAGACGACATATGAATGGTAAACGTGCAACAGTAAAAGTGGGCGCCACACCAAAACCGTCCTGCACTCGACAACAAAAGGTCTACTGTTGTAGGAAACGAAAGCAGTTGAGTTGTGGTTGTGTTGGCGTGGCTGGTGCCTAGGTATAAGCTTCACTTGTCAGCAGCATTGAGAGTACAGTTTCTGCCTGGCTGCTATGCCAGCTGACCTGAGGAAAATCAAGCTTAACCTGTTCCACTGCCCTCTCACAACATGGGTGAGATATATACAGAGGATGAACTGGTGACCCCATAGTGCACAAACAGGGGACTATAATGTGTCTTCATAGATCAAGGCAATCATTTTAAAATTGGTGCATGCATTTTTATCCTGAATAGGATAAACTCCATTTAATTCAAGAAAGGAAATAAAAAAACAATGTTATGCAGTTACATAACAAAACAACATTGCATGCAACAGAATTATTTTAGTTGTGTGCAACAAATAACCCATGTAGGTAGTAATCTGCTTTTCACATTGCTTTGATTCTCCTAAAATGCATAAAAAATTCTGTAAATGAGACTTTTTACTGACCTTGGAAGTTCCCTTGTTGGAGAAATACAGCCCCGACCTCCGCAGCACAAAATAAAACTTCTTCCAAGACTTCCTGCTTTGCTCTTTGGCATGGAGGTGTCCATGTATTTCTGGACAGGTGCTGGAGTTGAGAAAGGTCTGTGTTGGGTAGAGAAATATTTGTCCATAGATGGGTGTGTGCAGTAGATTCTTAAGGTAACAACACATTTAGATAGAGGTTGAGAGCCTCACAATTGGCACCCAAGGGCAAACACTGTACTGTAAACAGATAGAATTTGATACCTGTATAAGCTGTGAGTGATCCACCATCCCATTGGTTTCACTGGATATGGAGACCATGTGATCTGGGAAAAAGTCCTACCAATATAAAGGCAACATCAGTTATTACAACACTCTTTAAACTCATAAATCCACACACTGGTGGGAATACAGGTGGGCTGGTTCAAAGAGAGGATATAGCCTACTAAACACAAAATTATGTCTATTAACCCTATCACCATATATAGAGTACAAGTTTATCATGAACTCACCAGGGGTTTCCTGAAGAATTCATATTTAGCATAATTCTTCCTAAAATACAGCCGACTGTCTGTGTCCATTCCCCAGCCTGATAGCACCTCCATAACAGACTCATGGTCTTCAATGGTTCTCTCTGGTGAGACCGAGAGGAAAAAAATTAATTAGAGGTTAACCAGGTTTTCACTATACTATAACACTATAACAAAGTTAAAGACATATTTAAATGTTCTTAAAACCACAATGCAGTGATGTCTGCAAAAGATTTCCTGACAAGAGTTGTATTCCTTTACTTTGAGTTTGATTATTAAGCTTATATGAATGTGTAACCTCTGGATGAGAGCAGCACAACATAAACATTAATCATTTCCTAGAGCGTAAAATGATTGTTGAATTAATGGAAAACCTTTTTTCGTTCAGACAGCCATGTGAAGCAGTGTTCAACAATGATCTATGAACAACATCAGAGCAAAGAAGTAAACAGACAAGAAACGTTGTCGTGATTTACATGGTTGAAGAAATAATTCAGTAAAATTGCATATGTTTGCTTTGTAAATGATTTAATTGGGCATTATTACATGTTCTCTTTGAATATGAACCCTGAGCATTGAGCCAAAAAACATCCTAAATATTGCCAAAACCATGCATCTCCAAATGCTAAACTCTTGCTGAGTAAGAGCCTGAAGCTTTAAGACAGTGCATTTTGTCAGCCTAGCATTAAATCTATTTTATTATCTGAAAAAGTCAAATAACAACAAAACATTGATGAGTGGAACAGAACAGATGGATGAATTATGTAATGTGTGTGAAAATGCAGCTGAGAAATCTTTTATGCAGTCACACTTTCTTCTCGCAGATCAGTGTTAATATATCATTGACAAATATCTTTGTTTTTTACTGTTGGCTTAATAAGAACTATATTTTATGTCATTCATACACCATTCTGCAAATGCAGGTAATGTACTAATACTTGTCACAGTATATGTTACATAAATGACTACAGCTTACAGAAAATGATTTGATGTTCATCAATTCAAAGGTTCTTTAACAGTTAAAGCAAGTTATTTCTGGAATAAATTGCAACCTCCATATTTAAAATTGGTGCACGGATTTCAAAGAATACTTGCCAGATTAACAGCTGGTGGTGCTTTAAATTAAAATGGATTAAATAAGCAGCAGCAGGTGATGTTGCTTTGAAATGCAGACCTCAAAGAAACCTCTTGCATTCCACAACAAACGCCATGCAGACAATAAAAGAAGGCTTGAAAAAGATACAGTTGGATAAAAATCTATACACCCTATTGTAGACAGTGATGTCTTCACTACCTCTCTACTAATGCAATGCCAGAGTAGCATGAGAAATAATATTCTACGCAAGGAAGATCTATAATTGATGCCACAATCAGCACAAACACCAGCTCCCCTCGTATTTGACTGATTTCTCATGTGTGACTGGACAATGAGAGTACACACTGTACACATTTCACTCCCCCACTACCTACCGCCACTCCTCTCCTCAAACCTAGCACACCTCGCCCATAGTACTAACAACATTACCATCACATGATTGATACCAGTGTATACTTTGAACATGTCAAAATTACATTTGCATCAGGTATATTTTCACCAACAGCACTTCACCTGAACTGCCTCTGCGCTTTATCTTACACTCTCACAAATGTCACATGAATTTTTTTCCTGGAGCCAGAATGCCATTTAGTACTTAGATCAACGTTTAAGTCATCATTATATTGAATGAAAACTTGCAGAAATCTGAAATGTGCGCAATGATTCAAAGGTGTGGAACCAGGCTAGATAGCCACAAATGACATGTTAATATCGCAATTTGATTTATAAATTGAAATATTACCTTTAAAAAGGAACATGCAACAATTATTAACACTGACAAAATCTTACCTATTCCCAGATGGGAGAGATGTTCAAAAAGAGTCCAGCTGTGGTCATCAATGCAGTGGTTCTTCAAGACAAACAGCTGGCAGATGTCCCGCGCAGTGATGTCACTGGGAACCTCTACTGCTCTGCTAGTGTTATCTTCATTATAAACTTTGATTACCTGCAACAGAAGCATTGAATTAACAACTATGTCAACCCTTTAGCAGAAGGGGATACTTTTTACCATTAAGGAGTACAAGCAGAGTGTTGGTTTTTTGCTTGACGTAATGCAATGAACAGTATTAAAAGTGAGGCAAAGTATCAGACAAATTAATCAGTTTGACCCACATACAGCAGTTAGGTAACCTCTGTTTACTATTGCTGTAACAAAATATTCAGAAAATTAAGAGTTGATGAAAGCACAAAAGTAGACAACAATGTGTAAAGCATGTTCCGGGATGTAACGATTTAAGAAAAGCATGTAGAAAAAAAAAAAAAAAAAACACATTGAGACATTAAACACTTGAATCCATCTGAAAGTAGCACTTACCCCCCTGTTTACAGCCAAGCTGTGTTCTGAGTTTGAGCAAGCTCTGTAGCCTATGCATGGCTGAGTACACAGCATCGCAAAAGAGAGCTTTTTGTAAAAAACATATAAACACGCATCAGACAGCACAGCGAGTGTCAGCTGGGAAGCAACGAATCTCTCTCTCTCTCTCTCT